TGAAGTCTGAATCTGCTCTGCCAAGTCCAGCACATCTCTCTGATCCAGCTCCGTTCGGCATCCCAGCATCTTCAGCTGCTGCTTCAAACCCTCAAAATGTGTTTGAAAGACTTCTGCGTCCAGGCGCTGCGGGATCAACGGAAAGTCTTGCTCAGCGTCCCATAGCAAGCAAGAGGTTGGCTTTAGCAGCTTGCCACTCGCACTCAGAAAGATTTCGACATCATGAAAGGCCTCCGAAAGATTGGCACGGAGAAGCTCTGCTAGCAAGACCGGCTTCTTGCTTTGCTGGAGGGCCTGCTTTGCAACTTCCACAGGGTTCAACTGTGGAGTGTTCATTCTGTGAAGCAAGGAGGTGATGCTTGCGTGATCCTCCTCATCCAATGCGTCCAACTTTACCTCTTGAAGGGCAATGCGCAAGGCACTTGTCAGGGGAGGCATCAGCGACTTGTCTGGAAAGCCAACGCCACCACCCCAAGAACGGAACACAGGCAGCTTGGAGGCGACCTCTGTTGCTTCAGGAAGCTCTGTTTGCGTGAGCTTTTCCAACACCGATCGCACTGGCTCAATCTCCTCCTCGATCAGCTTCAAATGGCTTCGAGACTTCTGCGCGTGCGCCAGAGCACGAACCACTGCATCCGGACGTTCCATTGAAGGGCACGTGACATATTCCTGCACGAGAAGGACCTTGCAGGCGAGCAGCCCCTTTGCCAACTTTTCACAGCCTTTGACCGAAATTTGCAAGGATCGTTTCCTTTCGGACAAATAGACAGACTCCTCAGAGTCAGCAAGTTCAAGCACTTGCAATTTGTCGAGGACATGATCCCCAGACTGTGGTGGATCTGGCAGAGGAGGACACTGCTTCTTGGAAACTGCACGAGGATACCATTCCCAAAATGCCCTTCTGGTTGCCTGTGTCATAGGAAATACATCAAGCGATGCCAAAATCTCCGCCTTCAAAATCTCCACCTGCGGGTGCATCAACAGCACCGCTGCACCTGCTTGTCGATGGATCACTCTCGCTGGTGACAAATGCTGTGCAAGTGCCCAATCTGCATCAGACAAGCAACAAACATATCCTTACAGAGTGAAAACTGCTGCACAAAAGCGTTCAAGCCACTGTTCACACAAAGCGCTGCATAATTCCATGAGTGATCTGAACGTTCGTGTTCGTTACCCTGCTTGTGAAGCACTCAACAAAAAGACTTCATTGACCTTTGACTGTCCAAATGTTGCTCAGACTCGTTCTTGTCCAGAGCAATCAAATCTGGCCACTTCTTCGGACAAGGTAAGGAGGAGTGGAACCCCCTCCAAGTCATCTTTCGGGCTGATCACGTCCTGTGAATGAACGATGAGGGCGGAACTACTAAACTAAAGTATTAAGCACGCATGCAAAGCCAACAGCAGTGCTAAGTTGACGCTGATCATAGGTTTCCATCACCCTGTGTTTCATGGTCCCAAGAATGAACTGACGACTGAAATTTGAGGCAAGAGCTCCTCCAAGCAATGCGACACTAGTGCCAGAAGCTGCTGGAAGTTCGATGAGCTCAATTCATACCGTTCTCGGAGCCAACCCCGCAGCATGCTCGGTCCCTCAGCTTCCAACACCCGGTTTCCCCGTTTTCTGCATGTGATGGGTCCACACACGGCACCCGACAAAGCAGCAAAGGCACGACAAAGCAGCCACCATTTGCCTCAAAATGAGATCTTGGACATTCTCCTGTCGAGCACAAGTGTCACAGTAGCTACACCATACGTAGGCGAAAAAAGGCGTCCAACATCACAATGGGTCACCAACATGAGACTCGGATACGTCAAGAAGTCCCAAACCTTCCCTTTCTTGTTCCTTCTTTTGCTCATCCCTCAGAATCACTCAATAGTCCTGCGATCAAAATTGGAGCTCCCAGGGAGCGCAACGCATCGACGCTCGTAGCATCTTCTGCCATCCTGAATACAATGCTTCTTCCAAATTCAAGAGATGCTTTCTGTGAAACAGAAGCAAGCACCTTGAGAAACTTGGTTCCAAGTATCCCCTTAATCCAGAGGCAATCCACCATTCTCTGAGAACCAGCTGGCGTTTCCACAACGTTCAGCGCATCTCTTTCCTTAGCAACCACAGGTTCTCACAGCTCTCAGCTCTGCGTGGGAGCGCTTCTGACCGATTCTGACAGAAGCCGAGGCTCCAAGGCCAATCGGAAGAATTGAGCTTCGAAGCCCCGAAGCTGTGGTGGAAAGGCACTCTGCCAGAAGCTGTTGGGACCTCATATGACACATTGGACATAAGAAGATGCCCGGAGATTGGATGAAGCTGTTCACTTCACTTCAAACCTCTCTTGCCCTTCACATTAGTTACTTTGTCAAGGGAGAAACCGCTGTCCAAGTCACAATTCAAGCTCGCATTTGTCTGCCTCAAGCATCTGCAGAGTTTGCTGGAATGGAACCGTAAGCATGGAAAACCACTGCAAACAACATTGTAAATCTTGCACATTCCAGAACATATATACAGTACATATATATAGAGAGAGAGGGACAGAGAGAGAGAGGGACAGAGAGAGAGAGAGAGAGAGAAAAAAAAAAAGAAGAGATTTCCTGAACAAAGACAGGCTACCTGTCAACTGTCAATTCCATGGCAGTGGCCAGGTCGATCTAAAGTGATACAAAACGCAACTGAGATTAGAAAATTCAATGAGGTTCGCTCATAGGGATGAGCATACTTCTGCATTAGAAACACATGAAACCCTCACAGGCCAGGCCTCATGCAAGTGAGTTTCTCCAATGCCTGTAGGAAGCAGCGTGGTGCCACATTCGCGAAGAGTGCATTATTCCTTGGCCGGCAAGGTGGTATCTGCCATATTTCAAGGGCCTCTTCATTGTCTGCACGCATCCACACAAGATTGTTTCGTCATCAGTTATATAGCCCCCCAAATATATAGAAAAGTAATGAAAAGTAGATCCTCACTAAAAATGTATTGGAAACCGTTTCTATCTATTTGGGGAGCACTATATTGTTGTTTTCTCCACACCCTTGGGTTGCCGTCTTTGTGCCGAGAATCCAGTCCCGCTTGATGGCTTCTGGACCCACCAAGTCTGGACCATCCCAAAGGTCACCTGAGAAGATAGAAAAACATAGACTACTTGTTGGGCCATTCTCGCAGATGCAGTCGAAAATGCTCTGAATCCTGGGCCATCCTCAAATCTTGGCATTCAAGTCTCGGGACCATCGTTTGTGCCAAGCAAGGTCTTGCTCTGCATACTCTTCTAAAATGAATATACACCCTTTTCCATGTTGGTTTCGGTGCTCAGCAGTGAAGCAATCTGACACCGAGTCCGTTTCACCAGTAGCCGCAGCCTGCCATGTGATGGCCAAGCTGCGTCGGTTGCTTGAGAGCTCAAAGAAGCCGTTGAGATGGATTGAAGTGCCTCACAGGGCTACCCATCTACCTGCCAAAAAGTGAAATAGCACAACGAGTAATGGCATGGACTTTCCTCAAGTCTAAACAATCTTCACTCCCATCTATGATTCTCCCGCTATAGCGCCTGTCTTGATGGGGAGCTGCAAAAAGCAGAAGAGATTGCCATCGCAACTCCCCTCCAACGGGAGTGCCATCAGCATCCACCTTTCAATGAATTCTGCGCCATTGCAAGTGAATGTGAGAAGGTAGTGCAAGGGTTTTCAGTCGTCTTAGCCACAAGGCTCAGCATCTTTCGGCACTTGCTGGCTGCCTTCCGTTGATCTATCTATATATGTATGATTCTTTCTCACTCTAACCTTGGTTCAGTCCATCTCTTTGCCCGGGCTCTAGGCTCCTGCAAGCGAACTGACACAAACGCGCTTTGCACCGCTCCGATGCGGTCGGTCCACGGTCCACGGTCCCGGCGGTCTGCGGTCTGCGCCGAGGCACGGAATGAATCTGGAGCCTTCGACCTCTTGAGATTTCTTCTCGCTGAAAGCCAGAGCCTCGCTGCAGAGTCTGGGCACCCAACATGCATCACCACACCAGGTCGAAAGGATGCAGGACCTAGTCCTGAACATGCTCCAAGCGAGCACACAGCAACCGTGTTGGGAAAACGGAAAACGTGTTCAAGGGTTTGAATCCTTTCTTCATGCGGCTGAGTTCTAAATCAAGATGAGATCTATCAGACAGGGACGCTTGCCACCAACTTTGCAGTCTGCGCCTCTGCATCCTCCAAATATGAAGAGAGCAACCACGACTTCTTCTCCTGTTACAACACTTGTCTGCATGGAACACAGAGGTTCGACAGTGCACTCAGGGAGCCCGACCGGACACATGAATTTAAACTCTGTCGCTCGCCCATGCTTGCTTTACTTTTTTATTGTGGTCTGTTTTTAAAATTTTTTTCGCTTCTTTCTTTTCTGTCTGTTTGTTTCATTCCTTCCTTTCTGTCCTTTCCTTTGTTTCCTTTCTTTCCCTTCTTTCCTTTCTTTCCTTCTTTCTTGCTTTCTTGCTTTCTTTTCTTTCTCTCTCTTTCTCTCTCTGCCTCTCTCTCTCAGATGTCTATATATTATGTGTACTTAAAGGTTCAAGGCGTTTAGTATTTGGATGTGCTGCTTAGTGCTACTTAGGAAGTAGCCTATCTTGAGATATAACTTCTGTACGTGAAGATATAAATGACTTTTCTATGACAACTATTTTTCATCACTTACTATCTATGACGCATCAATTACTTTGTGCTGTAACTATGTAAGCTACTTACTATCTAATTTGTATCTACTTATGCTAAGTGAGCTAAGTACTTACCACACATACAAGCCAGACCCCCAAGTCAAGGACAAGGTCAGGAGCACAGATGTGGCGCGCAGCTGCTGGCGTCGCCCTACTTCAGGGTACGCCTCCCCCGTCGAGGGCCGTCGAGAGGTTGTGGTTGAACGGGACAACTCATGCAGACATGTCATGTAGAGCTTCATTTGCTTGCAGTTGCTTTTACTGGTGTTGTGGAGTGAACCCAAGAGACGTTCACGAGCTCATCGACAACATCACTGCCGTTGGATGGGTGGATGCCAAAGTGGCAGGCATAGCAGTTGAGATTGAGGATTCGTGAAAGATTCTCACGATCGAAAAAATCCGTTATGACATGCCTTTCATCACATGACACGAACCTCATGCCATGTCACGCTACGACATTGCATTCAGCACCATGACATGGCACGCCCTCCGCATTCAGCCTGCCGCTCCTAGGCTTGGAGCTGTTGAACACGCTTCGACGTGTCAGATGCTCAATGAAAACGGTCTGCAGACAATTCTGGACACCATGCTGCTTGAAGTAGATTCGAGAGTGGACCCATTCTTCAGCAGATGTGATCTCCAAGTCTTCTATAGAGGTTCAAAGGTTGAGGTTTATCGCACTGCGAGGGATTAATCTGTGAGCGATCTTCTTGATCTTCCTGGCAGACCTGATGCCGGCTTTGCGGCCTGACCTTTGGTCGCACGACCTTCACTCCGGCAGGTCGCGAGCTGGAAAAGAGTGAATCCCAATATATTTTTGTTTATAATATAGTAACTTTTCATTGGGTAATGCTTCACGATTTTTATAATAATCTAAAATTTCATTGGGTAACGCAGCCAATTTTTTATAGTATTATAAAATTTCATTGGGTAATGCAGCCAAATTTTTATAATATTA